GTGAGGAATATTTTTGTTTATGGAAACATCACCTTTTTTAAATGTCTATTCAACTTGTTGAATCCAGATCTGCACATAATTCTACATAAGATTTTTTAGTTTTGATAACACTTTTTGGTTTTGAGGAGACATTCGCTCGGCTCCGGCGGGTTTGCCGCCTCGCCTCACTCTGTTTCGTAACAGTTCGTAGCTCGGCTTCGCCTCGCACTGTTCACTGTTCAGCAAATATAATTTCTCAGTTTCAGTTTTGGTGTGGTAAGAAAATGCTATTAAGCAGACTGAAATGATATTTTTTTGAATTTGTGTAGAATATTGTTTACGAAAACATCACCTATACAAAGTGATTTTTTTTTTAATGTCTATTCAATTTGTTGAATCCAGATCTGCACATAATTGCACATAAGATTTAAATTTCGTTATCACTTTTTGGTTTTGATGAGACATACGCTCGGCTGTCATGATAATAAATTTATAACTGTCTTAAAGCGAATTAATTTATAACGATAATTATTATTTATCACTTACAATTTATAACAATAACTCAAAAATATCGAAGTTGGAAATGTCGTATAATGCAATCCAATTTGCTTATATAATAAAGTCGAGTATTCGCGAGCGGTTACGAACATTCCAGAACAAAATACGTCATATTTCCGGGATTGCGTCACATCCTCCGTTCTGTATCGCCGATTACTAATCTTTCATGGCGCTTCGATATCTATAGAAATTTTTGGAATGTTCGCTGCAATATGAATACATTTATTTCCATGGAAATTATCTGTCAAATAAGTTTAACTGAAATCTGAAAGAAAGTTCCTAACTAATATTTGACCGCCAATTAACCAACCTCTAGACCTAGAGGAATGTGAAAAAGTCTTCATTCTTCTGCACTACCTCTAACTTGAGAGTAACACATAGAAAAACCACAGGATCAAATCGCATCAAACATGTTGTCAAATAACTATTTCATGGAACGCATTCGGAATTTTGTTTCCATAATGTCACTTCTGTTGCCGCTAAGGCCGATAGGAAGCTTCAATCGAGATCAAAGTAACTGGAGAGTCTTGAATTTGCGCGCGTTTTTCTCAGCTAACACAGATCTAAAAAATGGATCAACACCAAATGAATTACGATTTACGACTGACGATTCCAGTAACTCTCGCAGTAACTCCATGAGTAATTCGAGCCACGACGAAAGTTGGCGAAGATTTCCGGCAGAGAATTTTTGAACTGATTTCCGATGATTTCCACGAGATTTCTTAGCTGATTTCTGCGATTTCTTAACTGATTTCCACGATTTCTTAACTGATTTCCACGATTTCGAAGTGATTTCTGCGATTTCTTAAGCGATTTCCGCGATTTCGAAGTGATTTCCGCGATTTCAGAAGTGATTTCTGCGATTTCCACAGTAAAACGTACATGTATTTCCAGAGTGGTTACCCCCTCGGCTAGAATATTTGCATTCTACTTCGGGGGTGGTGCGGAAACCAGTGTATAATCGTAATGTAGTCGCATTCTCAGCGTTCTACTCCAAAAATGGTTGATCTTACAGAAAAATGCAACAAACATTTTTTATAGATAATTGCACGATGAACAATTTTTGTAATAACTTCTATTGCTCTTAGAGCAATAGGTCGCGAGATATTCGCGAAAACTGATTTTTGCGACCTCTTACTCTTTTAGCCGGCATGATATATCGGGTGATCAAAGAGAACAGACAGACGCAGTTTAAATTGGGCGTTTTAAGTTTTTAATATTTTTTACTTAAGGAATTGGCAAACATGTTTAGAAGGAAATAGAAAAAAATTATTACGATAATGCTGTTTTTTTCTGTCAGTTCAAGTGGTTTGCAAAGTCGATTCTTTGAATCACCATGGGCTTCTCCGATAGTAATGGTCCAAAAGCGAGACGGTTCATATCCGACTTTGCAGGAACTAATCTCTATAACAGTACTAGACAGCTATCCACTACCACGGATTGATGACCTCCTCCATGCTGGCAGAGCCCCCTTCATATCCACAATAGACCCTCAAGCAGGTTACTGGCAGGTCGCCGTAGAACCAAATGACCGGAACAAGACCGATTTTATCCCTCCATTGGAACTATACTTATATAAGCACGTCATTCGGACTGTACAACGCCTCAACCACCTTTCAACGACTGATCGACCGAATGAAGACGCAACTTGTAAGGATCACATGTCCTGGTCTATTTGGACCACATTATTAGTCCTCTTTCAGTATACACCTGCAACATCTAACCGTCGTGCTCGACCGGTCATGCCATTGCAAGCTAAGAGCGCGAAGACGGAAGTGCCATTTCGCCAGGGCCCAGATCAAGTACCTAGTTCACATCCTGACCCCGAACGGCATTGGAACGGACCGAGAAAAGACAGCCGCCATAACCGCCGCCATTAGATGTCCTTTATTGAGACCTGTTCCTGGTACCGTTGTTTTGTTCCGTGCAGCTTGGCTCAACCAAGAAGCGGCCCTAGACAAAGGTAAACAAGTTGCTGACATCCAAAGACGGACAGCTCCACCATATAGTTCTGAAGGGGGAGATTGTACGCCTCCGGGCGATCAAAAAAGGTTTGACGTTCAGTCGCCTTTGGAAGTTCAAGTTAAATATGATTTCTCATTTAAACAAAAATTCCATATCTCGACAGCACCCCTTTTTTCATCGCATAGCATGAAGGCACCATGGAAAATGAGATTTACTGTTATAGTTCTTAGTATTCTTCGTGCTACTGGAGTTGTACCAAACACCACACATTATATAATAATAGGCTTGGACAAAAACGCATACAAAATCTACAAAAAGCAATCATTAACACATGCCACATATAATCCTTGCCAGGAGAGAATGGCGGTCAGAGAACACCCTGATCCCGGTCTACGATCATATGGCATCAAGTGTTCTCTGACCGTCATTCTCTCCTGGCGAGCTTAATAGTTAGAACATACGCCATGATCAATTTGAAGATTGAAGTGTTAGCCATTTTATGAAAGCATTGATTAACATATGCGAAGACCTTTGAGTATATGGGTAATCAACGCTACAATCAAAGGTGAAGATTGAAGTCAGTAGAATCATTGAATAACGAAATTTTCACTCAACGGTATAATACTAGAAACCCCTTACGCACTGCAACCGTTACAGCTTCTTATTATTGATTTGTGAATAAATCTTTCAAATTGGAGGAAAATAAACTACAATGGAGCCAAATACGTACGACAGTAATAAAACGCCAGCTATTTCATCCTTGAGGCTTGGATACACAACCCAACGTATTTTGTTCTTTCTGATTTGCACAGCTAAGAACAGAAGGAATTGTTCTGCATCCGAGCTCATAATCAATATAAAAAATATAAGAAGGCACTACTGAGAACAAGTGGACCGCTCGCACAACGATATCGCGTTCTATGTAACGTCCCCATATCGCAGAGCGCCGCGACAACCTTGATATAATATATTTGTTTCCAAATTTCGTCGATGATCTGCAGGCGTAGGGTACGCATTAATTATACACTTGCACAGTGGCGTTTCGGGCCTTACATAATTTGGGGGGGGGGGGGGCACCAGGTGAAAACAATGCCGACTATATGTCAAATATTCAACGACTTGTTTTTTCTTTATCAATTAATAGCGATGTTGCTTTAGGATAACGTATAAATGAACAAGATCATGAAAACTATAAAGGCTGATTCAAATTCGACCATGGTCACCATGGGGATCTCGGGAACTGTAAGAGATAGGTAGGTAGTTTGACTTTGGCAAAGTTGCATATTTTAATGGACTACTTTCGGATATCCGGAAAAAAACGAAATTTTTCAAAATCGTTTTTATCTTTTTCCGAAGTTATTTAAAAAAACAGATTATTATGACCACTTTATTCACTCTACAAGATGCTAGTTTTAAATTTTAAATCCGACGTTTCGTCACCGGTTAACCATCATCAACTTTAATTTTTCTTATGGAAGTTATTTTTACTTTTTGTGTCATTTGATAGATTTTTTTTCAAAAATGTAAACATCACAATTTTTTTAATATTGTTAAAATATCTTCTTTTTTGCCTAGAAAATTTTATCTTGGGTAGTGTTACGTACATAGTTTCTTTCGTTTTTAGAATTAATAGCGCTATTTCTAATTAAAAGATGTGTTGTTTACATTTTTGAAATCAGAAAAAAATTCTCTATCGACTAGTTACTTATTACTACCACTAGGCACTAGTCACTAACTCATTATACTGTACAGTTTGGGAATTTTGGGTTCTAACAAATGCTACTTATATCTTAGAGGCTGCGGAAATTCGCGGACGGCTTTTACAAACAGGAATAAGGTGCCGCCGCGTCTTCTATTGCAGCTTGCTGGCTGCCGTAATCAGAGCTCATATTACGCGATAAGTAGGTAATGCCGTTTATAAACATTACAATGGTGATACTGATACTGTATCTAAGATTTATCTCTTAACTATTTTATCTTACCAAAAAAAAATGCTTATTATTAAAGAAGTTAGCCGCCTTCCTTCCGACTCCTGAAATATTTCTATGAAAAAACATTTTCTTGTCCTTTTAAATGCAGTTTCATTTAGCATCTCCAAGACTCCAACCCAATTAGCCGACTTGGCCGCCGTAAATGTCCCCCCCCCCTCCTTCAGAACGCCCTTGTACCTGCATTCATGTATTACGAATTTTGACGCCGCAACGGCAAGAAATATTGCCGTGATGTACAGGGCCTCGATTTTGTGCTCTTCTATTCTTGATCATCTTCTTTGTAGATGCAGCTTTGGTTCCCGCTACCTCAAGTTGTTGATAGTATCTACATGTGTATACGAGAGGGTTAAGGGTGTATGTGCGTGACATGGCACAGTACGTAATTTCGCAATAAAGTGGGGTGGCAATTCGATTTCCAAATAGTAACATTGGCTCTTGAATAATGAGCATAGTTCCCAATAGCTTTGCTAAAGGAAGCAACTGACAAGGCAGAATACAATACCAGTGGTAATAATATTGCATTTATTTTCTTAATATACGAAAACTGATTTATAAAATCAATCTAAATTACAATAACTAAACCACAATAAATAAGGAATTCAATCTGAGGTTAAAAGGCCATACGCAAGAATATCAAAATTTTTTCCTATGGAATTACAAAACCGTCACTTTGACCGTTAATTCAAAGATACCTACAGTCCTTTTGTTGTGTGTTTGTGTAACGGTTTATTAGTGCCCATATGTATTTTCATTCTTTTGAATGTTTTTATATCTAAACCTACGGCACAGATCTAAAACTTACAGTGTACAAGTGGACTGATGAAGTTGAATTGAGGTTAAATTTAGTCAATTTTGATTTAAATCAAATATGAGGGGAGGGTTTCGTGATTTGTTTCAATTAAACTGTTCCATAACTAAAGTATGTTCACTGTTCACTACGTTGCTTTCATGGTGTGCTAGTATGATCAGCATACTATTATAGCTGCAGTCTTTAAAATGCTTAACAAGGTTTTTAGTTTATTAAATAGATATTTACCTACTTACCTACAATTTAGTGTTTCTGAATCGGGTTTGAGGTATATCACAATATTTTAATTACATTGACGAAACCTTCACAACACAACACAAAGTGATAATCAGTGGTCACCATAACACAAATTTTAGTTTGCCGTATTCTCAAAATAAAAATGAGGTTGGTTTACTTTACACTATGTTTAAACTTTGAATATAAATTATTTTATATTCAAAGGTTTAAGGGCCGGGTGAATTGACATATTGTAACCACCATATATCTCTTTTGATGTTTGTTGTAAATTTACACTGCCAAGAACAAAATAAATAACTGCGATTTTTGCACTTACTATAGGGTACTTAACAATTAATTTAAAGTATAATTTCCATTATACCAAAAAGTATCACACTTTCTAGGATATCATTATCCAATACACTAATCAAAATTTGTGTACTTCGCTTTCAAAAGCGACATTATCAACCCCCAATGATGTTCCGTTGGTCGTGGCTTTACACTGGCCTTTTGTTATTGCTAAGCCAGGGTGGGTATCCTTATAAACGGATGATTTTCTAGAAGAATTCCTGCGGGCTTCTTTTCTATGCTGCAAATACATCCACCTGTAACAAAATAACATTAATATATACATTATTGATTTTATTAGCTTCACCCAAATATAATGCACGCCGGAAACGTTAGACAACCTCCTAGCAGGAAGAAAGCACCAGGCATTGTACGCATCGTAGCCGCATATGTAGCACTATACAATGGTCCATAGACTAAAGGCATAAGAGCTTCGGAGACACCGATTAGCGAATTAATTTTACCTGCAAAAAAGCACAGATAAAATATCCAATACTCCAATACCAATTCATTTCGGTGAGACCTTTTATTAGAATACCATGAAAGGTAGAACGTGTGTTCACGCCCTCCCCTGCCCCCCCCCATTTACAAAAATTTTACTTGGCACTACTAAAGGCATGCGTATGCAGTATGAACATTCTGAGATCAATTGGTTGTCGCATGTAAAAGTTATGCACGTTTTACATTCAAAAACAGCATCACGGGAAATAAGTCATGGGGGACCCCTCCTTGAGACAGCAATGATAGCCGTCTGGCACACCTTCAAGGTATAGGTTACCTACTGCAAAAAATTCCAGGACTCTAGGACCATTCCCCTAAAAGTACTAGTTCAAAACCGCATAAGTGGATTCGGACGGACGGACAACACTCAATCAATAGCCCATTTTTTTATTCTTAAAAAATGCATAGGATAGTAGTAGTACCACACTCACCATCTTCTTCAAATTTGGCACCTTGTTCCGGACTCTGCAAAATTTTGTGGACGGGAAAACCTTAATTTGAAATCAGGACGTCAAATATCACTTGGACCGATTTTTTTTGCCAGGAAAGAGATTCGAAGTTTTATGAGCGTGAAATCCTAGGTGAAATCAATCTATTTGTCCGTGTCCGAAAGATGGTAAAATGTTGTTATGTAAACCAGAGCGGGTTGCTATAGACTGCTATAGATTCGTTCAAGTTACGGAAATGGCAAGCAGCACACCCTGTATTTAACTTTGTTCAAAGTAATCAGGAATTCTGGTAGAAATTTGTAACAAATAGGCACATAATTATAGAATTTTATTTAATTTTTGTTGTAGGTGCACTTATGCTGTTGTTCAATAATTTAGTAGATTGTTCTCTTTTGTAAGTTAAGACGTATAAGTTGAGCAACATTAAAGAATGTATGTGTTGTCTATGTTGCGTCTATACGAACATTATTTAACAGATGTTTGCTAAGGGGACTTTATCAAAGTATATACAATTTAATTGATAGAAATAACTGATGACAAATGCGCAAAGTTTGGAGATCAGGAAATGCGTTGTAAGCAGTGCTCCCATTTCGTCGGCATTTACCGAAGATAAAAAACGCGATGGAGATTGTCAGGATTTAAAAAGCTTTGCGCGTCGATGGCCAAGGCAGTCTCGGGTCATTTGATTTGGCGTAGGTACGTAACGTTCGGTTGCGTGTAAATTTTTCCGGTGGTCAGCGGATGTTTTGAAGTTTACAAGATATAGAAAAGGAGTTGTTTCGTCAGTTTGTATCCGAGTTGCCATTCCAACACTGGCAATCGTCATAGAACCAGTGCTGGTGGTTTAAGAAAAAAAGAAGAAAGTTTGTGTATACGGTTGTGCTTTTATGTTAAAATAATTATGTGAAAAGTGTGTTGTTTTCGTCGTTTGTCGCATCTGTACATATGCGGTTTCAGACCAAAAATCTTGGATTACTATAACAAAGTAATGAGAGCGTTTGAGACTTTTTTTTCTGTATTCGACCGTTCGCAACGGAGTGAAATGTTTCAATAAGGTGCTGTTAGCTTTTAGATTATTTGTTTGTTTTGTAGAAACATTTAAAACATGACGTTTACCCGTTTGTGTTCTGTCTTGTTAATCAACGTTTACAACTGAGTAACAAATAAATTTGTTACTCAGTTGTAAACGTTGATTAACAAGACAAAACGCAAACGGGTAAACGTCATCTTTAAACGCTACTGACTTGTAAAACTGACAGCTGACGTGTAAAAATTTTACAAGTTAGTAATCTAGTAATTTCATTGGCCAGAATTAATGCGAAGTCTCTGGTACATGGATAACATGATATTTTAGACATTTCTTCAAGATCAATTTAAGAACTAATTATTTACGTTTACTATTTGCAAATGAGTAACAAATAAAATATTGTACATTATACGCCAGGTAACTCACTTACCTGGTTAATAATTTAAAATACTATTACATTTGAGCTAGCTAGGTAAGGGTTATTGGAGGGGTGTAATGAATTTCTGCCGTTACACACGGCAGTTATTTTTGGCGCCCAACGTGGGGAGTAGCATTTATCTTTAGGTGTCCGAAATGAAGGGGCACAGCAACGTATTGGACCAAAAGAAGCATATATATAATTTAATAAGCTGTTTATACACTATAAAAAATCGGGTTTCATTTTTACAATACAACACGAAATGACTTTCCGAACAACCCCATATATCGACTCTTATATTATTTAAACAATTAATTTTTTCCATTTCCGATTCAAGTCCCATAACTTCTTCCTGTTGACCTAGCTACTTGAAAATCAATAGCGTCCTTGCGTAAACTATGCCTGCACAAATTTCAGTACCATCAGACGCTTATCGTGCACACCGATGAACCAACGCACGAACGGAGATTAACAACAATACAAAACTATAAAGGTTCCTTAGTAAGGTTTATAGCAAAGAGTAACCATAATTACTCTTTGCTTATAGTTTGAGAAAGCAGACCATTGCTAGATTTTTCGCCGTTTTCCAAGATGGCGGCAGTCTACTACAACTTTCGAAAGTTATTTTCACTTTCATCATATACAAATTCCCCCAAGTGTACATTAATCATTCATACCCTATGAATGTAGGTGTAGATATTGTGCGGAGAATTTCGTTCAAGATTTTACGATAACCTAAAAAATTGAACCATTTTTTCCTTGCAGCTTACCTAATTCATCTGATGGAACTAATTTTGATGCCATCGACCTCATGGCAATAAATGATGTTCCATTTAATATTTCTGCAATCGGTCCTAAAAATTGATTAAGTTATTAGATATAATCATAATATAATGGGTACTACCATTGAATAAGTAATCAATTCAATGGTACTATACATTGTATATTGATGTAGACTGAGTGTATAAATAAAATTAGACTCATGAGAAAAGGCAGACTGAAGTATGATCTGTTTGAAGCAGAAATAAGTGTATTAATGTAGGATGGAGATTCCGATGAACAATAAAATTTGTTTTTGGTTATCAGTTTAAAGAAAATGCAACAGATATAACATAAAAGATTGGCATTTCCGAACCTAAGTTACTTTTATAAAGATCAACATAGGTACACCACTGAAATCTACCTTTTATAGTTATTTATATAACAAGAGCGCGAAGTTCAATTTCGCGCATTGAGACTGAAGGTATTTTGACGAGGCGAAGCCGAGTTAAAATATCAGTCAAATGCGCGAAATAACTTCGCGCTAGCGTTATATACAATATTTTTTCTACAACTGAACTGATTGTTAATTAAATTGCTGTTTAAGTTCAACTTTGTCCCGTGCGCGAAATACTTTTTTATTATACCTGAATCACAATCTCCGTTTTAAACACTCAAATGCGTGCGAAAAAGGGCCTTTAAAACACACGTGCTTTAAAGTTGCTAAGTAACGATACTTCAAGTATGACTTTTGAAACTGTCATCTGGATGAAATAAAAACTCCTCTTAGGTCGCTTTCTGTAAATGCAGAACATTTCTTTGGCTTTTGTATCTATCCTTTGGTTGAAGCTTGCGTCGTGCCCTTAAACTCGTTGCGCGTGCTTTAAAGACTTGATTATACACTTGACTTTTGTTGACGGTTTCGCGCACGTTGTCAAGAGCAACCTTACTTATTAATTAACCGATTAAAAATCTAGTACTTCGCGTTTCGAAATCCGTCAGAAAATGACAGGTTTTTTTGACAGTTGTAGAAAAAATAATTTTTTTCTACAACTGTCAAAAAAACCTGTCATTTTCTGACGGATTTCGAAACGCGAAGTACTAGATTTTTAATCGGTTAATTAATAAGTAAGGTTGCTCTTGACAACGTGCGCGAAATCGTCAACAGTGAAAAAAAGTATTTCGCGCACGGGACAAAGTTGAACTTAAACAGCAATTTAATTAATAATCGGTTCAGTTGTAGAAAAAATATTGTATATAACGCTAGCGCGAAGTTATTTCGCGCGTTTGACTGATATTTTAACTCGGCTTCGCCTCGTCAAAATACCTTCAGTCTCAATGCGCGAAATTGAACTTCGCGCTCTTGTTATATAAATAACTATTGTTGGCAAATTTTTAAAATCAAAATAGCTATTTATGTAACAAGTTGCAAATTGACTGTCTTTGGCGCACTAGACGTGTATTTGTCCAATGAGCGCAGCGAAATGTGTTGCATACAAGGTTTTTTTGTAATTTCGTCAAGAAATTGATAATATGTGAATTATTATAACGGGAAAAGAACTTTATTTTAAGATTGAATACCCATGTATTATTGCGATGCCTAATGGTTTGCTATGGACACAGATTGAGTATTTAAATCTGTGTTATTAACTAGCTTATTTTGGTTAATCTGTTTTGTATAATCGATTGCGTTGAATTGTAAGTTAAAGAAACAAGTAAAAAGGTTTTCGCCCTAAGGCGAGTAACTTCGGCGCATTTTCCATAAATTCATCAATACTTCCCCAAAGGCCATCATACCTATGTGCGCTATGTTTTTCATTACTATAGAGGCATACCTATATGGTTAAAATTTCAAAGGAATATCTCCATACATAAGAAAATTGGTATTGCGCAGTCTGCGCATCCGCACATCTGATTTTTACTCTATGCGATATATTTGCCTTTACTACAAGTATCTGTGGTTAAAATTTCAACAAAATATATTAATAAATAAAAAAGTTAACATTGCGCAGCCTGCGCAGTTCAATCGTCAAGATTTTCCTTGACTCAGGAGTTAGGTGCCAGAGCGATACGCTACCGACTGCAAAATGAACGAACTAAATATCTTGAAAACTGTAGGAGTAGTTAAGGCCTCGGACAGACGGACAGAGAAAGTGGCTGCAATAGCGCACCCAACTTCGTTGGAAAATGCGCTAAAAATAAAATTTGAGTAGTTAAGGCAATTATTGAGTCGTCTATAATAGGTAGTGTGGGACTAATGTACCAGTGCGCCAATTGTTCGCCAACATGTCAAAATGTGACACTTGTGGCTTGTGTGTGGATTTATGGCTCAGTGGTAAGAGCATGGGGTTATAAATCCGGAGGTCGGGTGTTCGAACCTGGGTTGAGGTGAAATTTTCATCTGTGGCGGAGATGGAAATTACCTTAGACCAGTTCCGAGTATTCTACCGGCTACTCCGAATTAGGTTTTCCTGCAGTTTTCCTAATTCGTAAGTAAATACCGGAGTAGTATAGACTATCTTAAGACCTTCTGCAGAGGCACCTCTAAATAGCATTAGGTATGCGGGCCACTCTGTAATGGGACGCATGCCTGTTGAGGGCCCAAAACAAGAGAGGGATAATAAAATAAAAAATAAATGACGGCTTTTTTAAAACTGAAAACGCCAACTAAATTTAAGTATTTGATAACGAAATTACAAAAATGTAAATGAAAAGTTTGATTGTGGCGTAGTAGCTACCTACGTTTTAAAAATTAGTAGGAAGGTCCGCGACAACCAAAAGTTTCTATCTTTGATAATAATAGAGAACCTTCGATTTCCCATCGAAATTTGGACATTTGTGCTATTAAAAATATTAAAATACAGTGCGTTGTGTTAAGAACATCATCTGCTTGTTGTATTTGCGAAACAAACATTCTGTCAGTAGCTGGGGTGTAAGAGGTGGTGGTTTAAAAAGTTATGGGTGCTCGAATCATTTTATATGCTTACCTAAATAAAACACCCAGGCAACAGTTGCAAATGTGTAAACAAAACTAGATAATATTTTACTAGCACTCGACATCAAACCGATTATGGCATCATCGATTTTTAGTAGATGGCTGAAGAGACCAACGGATAGTGCAGTGCCTGAAACATACACAAAGAATAAGCATTTAAGAAAATAGTATATTAAGATACAAGTGTATAATCAAGTCTTTAAAGCACGCGCAACGAGTTTAAAGGCACGACGCAAAGCGGAGTGCCTTTAACGTTGCAAGTGCTTTAAAGACCAATTATACACGTGTATCTTATAGTATTTTTTATTATACCTGCAGTATAATTTAAAAATAGGAAATACAATGAAATCATATTGACGTTATACTCGAATACATGTCTAATTAAGTGGGCTGGGTGTTCGTAATTTCACGATTGTCATGGAAATGTCACTTGACGTTTGCTTAAAAAATCATCGTCAATGTGAATTAAACGATTTCCGTTGAAAAAGATAATACACCGTCCATTAAATCGATTGTTGTAAAATCTAAACAAACGTTGGTAGGTGTAAAATCCAACTCCAGTAAAGCCTATTATAAAGAATATGAAAAGTTGTTTCCATGGATGAATAGGAAGTTACTTACGAATACAGTCTTAAATGCATCCATAATGCTGGCATATATGAAGGAAATGTCAAAGGTATTTAAATCTTCTATATTTTGGTGCATTCATTCAAAACTTTAAAGCAATGCTGCGATTAAAAAGTGGAACAGATTTGGAAGCATACCCTAAATTACGCGCGTTTGTGAAAGCTTCAACCAAAGGATAGGTACAAAAGCCAAAGAAATGTTCTGCATTTACAGAAAGCGACCTAAGAGGATTTTTTATTTCATCCAGATGACAGTTTTAAAAGTCATACTTGAAGTATCGTTACTTAGCAACTTTAAAGCACGTGTGTTTTAAAGGCCCTTTTTCGCACGCATTTGAGTGTTTAAAACGGAGATTGTAGTTCAGGTATAATAAAAAAATTAGTAATTTTATAAGAAAATAGCCATGACTTTTGTTATTTATGAATTGTTATACTAATAAGAGAAATGTTAAAATTTATTTTTAAATTTTCGGGTATACCAAAAGCTTAATAAAACATGTACAAACAGTTTTGTATGCACCTTACAATTCTGAACAACTTTAAACTCGACAGTTTTATTTTGTAAAATGTACAGGAGGGCAGGATATTGCATAAAACTAATTTCCCATGTTCCTACTTACCGTGCACCACCAGGTATATTAATCTACGACGGTGTCCTTATGAGAGATTTAGCATAGCCAATTGGATGTCATTACGGCTTTCATAAATTCAGAATGAATTCAGAGAAGCACGCGAATGATAATTACTATTATTTTCTATAGCAAACGTCAAAATTGACAAACGCGATTACCATGACATCCACTAGTATGGGCACTTGATAATTTTGAATCATAATTTAAGAAAACGTTTAGATAACTCAAAAATCTGAATAATAGTTATTTATGCATCAAGGGCATTAAGGCGATATTTATACCGAGAGCGACAGAGCCCGAGCTAGCCTACGGCCCGAGGGATTGTAAGTCGCCCGAGGGTTAAATATCGAGTAATGCCTAAGGTGCATACAAAATTTTATTTTTCATTGTTCCAAATAATGCGTTTCCAATATATGTACAGGGTGTATCACCTAAGATCCCTCGGATCATAATTCCTTTACCATAAAAGATACCGAAAAAAGTCTTATAGTAAAATTGTACACAATTACCGTCGCCATATTTCTAAAATATGTTTGATCACCAGGGGCGTGCTGTATTATTCCAGTGGCGTATCAAACTTGCATTTTTTTTTAAATCGAATACCCCATATTTTATTACTGATTTGGAATGTACTTGAAAAATACTTATTTTTTTCTCTAACTTTAACGATTTCGATGTTATAACCTTTTTTCGTCAAAATTTGACAGTTCTTCGAATTTTACTTAGAAAAACTAAACCGTGCAGGCGGCTAATTATTGAATTGAAGCACAGGTTAAGACCTCTTCCACAGTCACATAATTTTTTTAGGTACTTTATAAAAAAATTGTCATATTTTTCAAAATTTTCAAATGGCACCCCCCTAAATGAATTATGCCTCTGGATAGCCAAAACTACAAATTTTCTACTGATTCAAAGAAATCCACACATTCCATAAGAAAATTTCAGAAAAAAACCAAGTCGAAACGCTAATTTGTAAAAAAACCTTATTTTCCAAATCTTAGTGTGTCATAATGAAACAAAAAAGGTTCAATTCTCACAATTAACAGTAAAGTATCGGCAGTGTATGATTGATTTTTAATCAGCGTTGTCAAAATGTTCCAAACTGGTTGATATGGTTGATTGTTTGTTGGCGTCATAATAGTACGCCGAGAGATATCCTGGCAGAATACAGATCTACACATGTTTAAAAAGGTGTTGGATAAATTTATACTACTGGGAGTACTAATTTCACGCACACTAATATGACAATTGTTAACAGCTGCCCCGAGAACTTGCAATTCATTATCTTCCGCCAAAACCGGCGTCCGTTTACCTCTCCTTGCTCGTTTATTTACACTCCCAGTAGTTGTAAATCTATCCAACACCTTTTTAAACACGCGTGGATCTGAATGTGTTTTGTCAGGATATTCACCCAGTCAGCACACAATTGCGGTAACGGTCTCTAAGAATAACTCTACTATGGCTATACCAACCTTTTCTGCTTGAGTTTGAGACATTTTTGCAACGATGATTAAAACCCACAGACCACCTCTTTTGTTTCATCATGGCACACTTAGATTCGGAAAATGAGGTTTTTTTTACAAATTGACGTTTCGACTGGTTTTTCTCTGAAATTTTCTCATGGAATGTGTGGTTTTCTTTGTATCAGTAGAAAATTTGTAGTTTTGGCTACCCAGAGGTAAAATTTGTTTAGGGGGTGCCATTTGAAATTTTTGAAAAATACGACTTTTGGCGAAGGTCAATCAAAAATTCAATTTTTTTTATAAAATACCTAAAAGTATTATGTGACTGTGGAAGAGGTCTTAACCTGTGCATCAGTTGAAAAATTAGCCGCCTGCGCGATTTAGTTTCTCTAAAAAAAATTTCAAAGAACTGTCAAATTTTGACGAAAAAAGGTTATAACAGCGAAATGACTATAGTTAGGGGTTTAATATGTTATATAAAAAAAAAGTATTTTTCAAGTACATTCCATATCAGTAATAAAATATGGGATGTTCGATTTAAAAAAATGCAAGTTTGATACGCCACTAGAGTACAGCACGCCCCTGGTCATCAACAATATTTTAGAAATATTGCCACAGTAATTGTTTACAATTTTACCATAAAACTTTTTTCGGTATCTTTTATGGTAAAGGAATTATGATCCGAGGGATCTTAGGTGCTACACTCTGTACACATGCAATGATTATTGTTTGACCAACATCATAAACGTTGCCATCGAAAAGACTTGCACTAAAAACTGAATGAATTATTTTTTCATGAATGCCGACCGATGCAGCCGTTAACATTTGCCGCGCGCCAACTGTCAAGGGCGCGAATAGTGAACGCTCGAAGTTTCAATCCTCATTAAGTTTTCTGCAATGTTCTGCGCAATTTCCTTAGATTTTCTTTTCGTAAGTTCTTTCTAAAGTTATTTCGTGAGTGAGAAATAAGAGTTCATTTTTATACAGTGATATTCATGTAGAAGTAGACATAGGGATTTCCTATAGGAACTTCCTACGTCTACTTTTACATGATAAAAAGCCTAATTTTATGTAACCAAAGTAACTACCTACAACAAAATGAGGACCTGTCTGTCATATTAAGTAATTGAATATTATCGCTTTGACTTCCCTATTATAATTTCGGTTCGTGTGCGATGTATTCAACTAAAGAAAAAGTTGATATTTTCAATTAGTATAGTGCCGATAACAGTTAAAGGAGCTTTTTTTGTGAAGCTAAAGCAACAATATTCAAATTAATAATTAATATGACAGTCAGATCTTTATATTAGCACAGTTTAAACAGTGTTTAAATCTGTGATATTAGCACAGATTTAATAATATTTAAATCTGTGATATTAGCACACATTTAATCAGTGATATTAGTTTCAAGAAGTTATTTTGGTTGCATAAAATTAGGCGTCTTTCAGGAGACTGTATCATGTAAAGGTAAAAATAGGAAATTCCTATAGGAAATCCCTATGTCTACTTCTACATGAATAGCACTGTATATTAAAATACAGAGGAGAAATATAGAGACTACAATAATCCGATGCCAATGGTTTTTTTGATGGACAATTGTAGTCCTGAGGAAAATGCTTCATTTCATATTTAATAAATTACCGACTCCAATACCCACTCACCTATCATTCCTATTATCATGTTGTAGGTAGAAAAAATGCTAAAATTCACTTCGTCCCAGTTGAATCGATACCTTGTGAACAAGTAGACGACAACCATTTCACCTGAAACAATAAACCCATTGAGCATTTTTTCTAGATAGGTATATCACATCTCGTGATATAAATTTATACTAAAACAATTCGAAAGTGGTAGGTACTTGGCGAGTGCCGACAGAAGTGTCTACTTCAATCTCTCTCACACTCCTTTGCTCCATTCCTTTTGCTGCGATCTAGCACAGATAGAATCCGCCACATTGACATTTTCATGAGTTGTCGGCTTTTCGACAATACATCAAAGGGAAGATTGTGGCGCTTGTCTTGTACTGTAGCGTGTTCGTGACGTTTGGTTCAACGAAATTAAAAAGTGCGGTACGGTTCGAAACGCTGGTTCGCGACAAGGTTCGTCCCGGAATAATGTTGCAAATGTGAAATAAACGCTAATCTAAGTAGTATTATAACGAAGCATTCGTTTTCCGCCCCGGAGTTCATACCCGAAGTTATGACCGCACCGTACATCTGTGAAGTCGACCAGCTTTGCTGAACACCCGGTATCGAGTTTGTCGCTTTATCACTGAAGAGTTCCGGAATTAATTGCTCGAGAGTGAGTTCTAGGTGTTTACATTTTGTGTAATTGCTTATCTTACCGCCGCTAAGTACGCAAGTTTTATAATTAATTTATCAAAATTTTTCCAACCTTTCCGGTAGGAATAATTAAATTATTCTTACAGCCGCCAAATGCTCTCTTGTCAGAGATAAGAAGGGACTCTAATTGATATTTTGATATTTCAGCACGGTTAGATTCCCATAATAAGCGAAAACCAGGATAGAAACGAATTTCAAATCGAGTTGTTTACACGTTATCAGTCTTGCAGACACGCCAGGGTGTACAGTACATAACAGCGCAGGGATATCGCCGATTGAAATAAAAATGTAAATTAGGCTAGGTGTTTAATTGGATTGATGAGTATTGAAAATTGAACGCGCTTAATTGGATAAGCATGCTTATAATGAATGACGTCGTAATGCGTTGTAGAAAAACGCGGCAGACGGCGTTCAAAGTTATTTTAAAATGACCGCGCTTAAAAGGCGAGTAGTTCGATGTCCATCTTAAATTTTTCCGAATATTTCTCTCATATGTAATAAATCCCATATGAGGTGTGCAATTATCGCTCAATAGGGGATATGCATGTATCTTTTTTAAATTTTTTAATCGCTTTTTTACATCGTTCTAACATAGTAAAGAGTGTAAACACTGTTAGAACAATTTAATTTAACTTGTAAAATAATATTTAAAACGTTGACTTTATTCGATGTGTTTGAACGCCGCCACATTTTCAGCGGGCCTCTGATGACGTCACAAGCCACGACCAGTGTTTGTTTACTTTTAGTGTTGAGTTATTTAAACAAATTTTCAGTTGTAACAGCTATTCAGACCGTGGAAAAACCTAAAAAACCATTTTATAGGTGTTGTCTTGTACAAAAGTACAAAAACACCATTAGAAATATTCCCGATAAACTGTATTTTGCAGTTCCAAGAGGACGACTCCCAGAGCGTTCTCAATTTTTTTACGGTTAGTGAACCCTAAAACAACCTTTTTGAACAATTGTGCCGTTGATTTCCAAAATACAAGACATGTAAATCTATAATAGGGGAATGGAAAGCTCTCGCGGAAAGACCTACATTAAAAAAAATACGTCCAAATCCGAGTACACGAGAAATCAGCTTTTGACTTTCGGACACAACCAAAAATGATTTTTCAAATCGGGTCGCATCGAACGATAAAGCGTGAACTTTTTAAAGCTCCTATTTGACCAAAATGTATGATTTTTATTACCTAATATAATCAGTAATCATAGCCTAGGGCCTATTATGGAGTTACCTTCCTTGTAATATTTCGGGCCATTTGTTAGTTAATTAAAAAAATTCCACAGTCCATCAATTTGCAAGAATCATCGGGACAATTTTTGGAAATGGTGGTCTTAGGATTCCACCATCTGTAAAAAAAATTTTGAACGCTCTGGGAGTCAGCCAGTTTGAAAGACCAAGCATTGTTTTGTAAATTTGTTTATTTAATTATGCAATAACTATAAAATCTACGGTGATCGGCTGTCATATTGTTTTGTTATCAAAAGAAGTGACCAAATACAGATTTTCAAAAAGATCAGATGAATTCACTTATAATCTTCGGGATTGCTTTTTTATATTTTTCCATAGAAAAAAATTACATTTGAAAATGAACGTTTACTACAAACTGTATCTTATAGGAAATTCAATTCTAAACAAATTCATTTCTCTTCATTTTTAGCGCATTTCCACAAAAATAAAAAAAAAATGCGCTATTGTGGCCACTTTGTCCGTCCGTCCGTTCGTCCGTCCGTCCGTCCGCTAACTTTGCGACGCTACTGGTTTTTTATCTTAAGAGCTTATTGTTCTACTTTTTTCGCTATTTGGTTCGTTATGGTGTCGAGTCTTGTACCAAGGAAGGAATTTTTTCTGTACCGCTTACAAAAAAAGTTATTGTAAAAAAAACAAAAAACCGTTTTTTACATGTTCCATAATTTTACACTTTTGCCGTTTATTAACGATCCTAGAGATCGTTTATAATTTTGCATTGCTATCTGTCGTCTGCCTGTTGGTCTGTCCGTCTGTTCCTTTGTCTGTCTGTCCATCTATCTGTCCGTGTGAACGATAACTTTGTTTAGAAATGTTCGATCGCTTTTACATCTCCGTTAGTTATGAACTGAATTGCATGAAATTCAATATGGGCATAGCTTTAGCCATATAATACGCAATGCCAAAAGTTGAATCGAATCGATTCAAAATTCACAGTGCCCTTTTCGCATCTCGACCATTTATAAACCGAATTGCAAACTTTTTTACTTATAAAAGTATTTGAATGAAATTTGATACATAGGCACTTGGAATAAAGGAAAATCAAACGCAAATTTCAAAATTTGGTTTTGCGCATGCGCAGTGCCAACTTTTTTATTTATGGAAGAATTTAAACGAAATTTGATACATAGGCACTTGGGATAAAGGAAAATCAAACGCCAATTTCAAAATTTGGTTTTGCGCATGCGCAGTGCCAACTTTTTTATTTATGGAAGAATTTAAACGAAATTTGATACATAGGCACTTGGGATAAAGGAAAATCAAACGCCAATTTCTAAATTTGGTTTTGCGCATGCGCAGTGCCAACTTTTTTATTTATGGAAGAATTTAAACGAAATTTGATACATAAGCACTTCGAATAAAGGAAAATCAAACGCCAATTTCAAAATTTGGTTTTGCGCATGCGCAGTGCCAACTTTTTTATTTATGGAAGAATTTAAATGAAATGTGATACATAGGCACTTGGAATAAAGGAAAATCTAGCGCCAGTTTCAAAATTTTATTTTGCGCATGCGCCGTGCCAACTTTTTTATCTATGGAACTATTTAAGTGAAATTTGATACTTAGGCGCTTGGAACAAAGGAAAATCTAACATTAGTTTCAAAATTTAGGTTTGCGCATGCGCAGTTCCAACTTTCTTATTTAGAAAAGCATTGAAATGAAATTCTTCTCATAAACTGAAATTGAAGTAGCACGTCAACAATGGATTGCCCATGTGCAACGCTATCTTTCATATTTGTGGGCGGATTTTTACGATTTTAACAGAAGTTGCATCTTACAAATGGGAAATGAATGCAAGTGGAAATGCGCTTTATGTAAATCGTTTACGATTACTTTTTAACTTGTTTCGCTTAGAGCAATAGTAAACGATATAATTGAAGTCAAATGCGAAAAGAAACGACATTTTGCCATTTTTTCTTCGTTTTTTTGTCTATACATAACAATATATTCCGGGAGTTTTCGGGTAGGGGGACTATGATTTTCGGATTCAGGGGATCTTTTTACATAAAATACACTTGATTTCGTTGAGTGAAATGACAACACCCAGCCCAATCTGCCCAAACCGTAATTTGACTAGACTAAGTACTATGAATAACGGGCGATCAAAAATGAGTTGTTGTCGAGTCGCCTTTGGAAGTTCAAGTTAAATACGATTTCCCATGTAAACAAAAGTTCCAAAGGTGACTCGACAGCAACTCATTTTTGATCGCACAGTATTGACACATTAAATGCGATCGCGTGGCATTTGATGTCACTTTCATTCGTCCAATAGTGACGCGTTTCGCAAATTTGAATTTCGTTTGCTTATTTTGCACTTTTGAATTAACGTTTTTTGCAATTAAAAACAAACTAAATAAGAAAGTAATGGTTTAAGTATGATGTCAGAACAAGTAATGGTTTAAGTATGATGTCAGAACAATAAATATTCACGGGAGAAAGAATCAAGTAAATTTATACCACATGCATACAGTGGCGTATCTAAGGTGGGGCAGACAGGGCACGTGCCCTGGGCGCCAACGCAGAGGGGCGCCAAACTCGAGAGGGCGGAAAAGACGAGAGAGCCTGCGGTTGAGTGTTGGCACTCCTGTAAAAAAATTCCGAAAAATTCAAAAACAACTAAAAATTACGGCCGATGGTTCGAAATAATCGTATTCTCTGATAACCAACCTGATGCAAAATTTATGCAAATTTTATAAAAAATTTTGCTAAAATTTGCCTAAAACTGCGTAAATCTAAGACTATTTATAATATAAACTTTGCATAAACTTGAATGCAAAGTTTACATCAAATTTGTATGAAAAATTGTTAACTGTTAAATAAACTATTAGTAAAATAAAAATTAGACAAATTAGAAAATTGTCGCGACCAAGAGGGCCGATTACAAGTACGTTGAATTATTTTTGTTTATTTTCATTAGTCGATTTTTACAAGGAATGATCTCAATTTATGTTCTTTGGTTTCTTTAAATGAATTTCTACTTTAAAATCATGTATTTTACAGTAGAAACTAAGTATATTTCGCTTGTTAAAAATGATCTAAAATCTGGATGATAGATGGTGAATGAGGGAGGGGGGGGGGCAATTTCGGCACTTGCCCTGGGCGCCATTTAGCTCCGGTACGCCACTGCATGCATATTCCCTGCCCTGCGATAATTGCACAGTTCATCTCC